TCGAAATAGTTGCGGTAATTGTAAACAACATTTGTTAACATGTCATTGACAGCTAGAAAAAATAATCTTGATCCGAACAGCTGTTCGTTATTTCATAGACGATTATGTGATAAAAATTGAACGAAAATTTGACAAAAATCGCACAAAACTGCATTTTTGAACGTCCGTAATTTTATTTACAAAGTAGTGAGGCTATATTTAAATCACTAAAGACACTCTCGCCAATTCAGTGAATACATTAAAATGACTTGGATCTTGATATGTACTCTGGTTTTCACGTAGAAGATTGCGTAAAATGCCATCTTGAGTGTTACAGACAAAGGGACAGACAGACAGACAGAAATTGAGATAAGACTCGTTTCTGCTTCTTTAATGTATAAAACGTAAAAATAACCTAAAAGTATATAATTCTGAGCAATGTACAGACAAAACTCTAATTTTATTTATATAGATAGTTTTGCCAGCATATCTGCAAATATGCAAACTAATTTCTGTTCTTAATCTTAATATAAGAAGGTTTCAACTGACTACTATAAGATCCCCGTGCGTAGAACGGGCACACAGCTAGTTTACGTATAAAACAATACAATAATTCACACCACCAGACGGGCCAGGCAGTATGGCGGCTGTCACGTGACCCAGTCCGCCTCGTAATTGGTGCAGCCTCTGTTATTTGCGCCGACTTTAAGACTCCGGTTGCATTATTGAACAGGTTCGACCCCGTTGTTGCTCGCGTGATGTACAACTCGACATTAACTCTCGCACGTTCCTTCACTCGATGGCCGCCACTTTTTCTCCCCAGCACCCTGTAGGGAGTCGATATCGGTCGACTGTTCATTCCTTACCTACGAGTTTTACAGCCCTCCTCTTTTTAGTCTCTGTCTGACTGAAAGGGAAGGTAGCATCCTAGAGAAAAATCAATTGCTGCTAAAACTACGGTTTTTAATACAAGACTTACAAAAAAATATACTGTCGATACAGGTTTGTGATTGTTTATTTCTTACTAGTTTTACAGCTGTCCTCTTAGTTTCTATCCGACTAAAAACATAAGGTCGCCAGTCTAATGGTTTGATGGATTCATCTTCAGAAATTCTTGATCGTGTTATGAATATCCTGGCTAAAGAAATGTCTGATCTTATGCAGTAAAGCTACACCGGCCATCTTACACCATTCTACACACCTCTTACGTTTATATTTGGGTTAATATCACTCTCAGTCTTGTCTCTATCTCATTTAGTAAATAATAATAATAACACACAGTTTATTGGTTATGTATGGTTTCAAATTGAAATATTTTCTATATTCTACATCCCAATCTCTCTCTACTAGGAAATATTTAGTACACATTAGGGAAGGTTTTTCAAGTTTTTCTTAGCGTTATTAACTAACAGGCCGTTGATTATGTTAGGCTACAAATTTAAATATTTCTCTAATTCTAAGCCCCAAACTATAGCTTCTTAATATAATTGGTGGACATTATAGTTGTTTCCCATCAGCGTTGATAGTCAACTCTATAATAAATCGTTCAGTGATTATGATTTATTTCATATATAGGATTTCTTTTATAAGTTCTACACGTTAAATATCAGAATTTAAACACCTACGTTTTTGTACACGTTCAGGAAACAGACACTGATTATCAACCGCTATACAGCACCATGGAAAAATTGTGATATTAGCATGAGGATGTTTTACTTGAGTAGGCTATTCTTCTGCTTCTTTCATATAGAACACTTTTCATTAATTTTAAATATACAATTTATCTGCATATATATATTTCGAATAAATAGATAATTTTTGTCTATTTTTTAAACACCTTCCTCAATAAATATCAAATATGTAAGCTTCTTATGGTGCAATTAAATTTTTTACTAAAATTCAATATCATCTCCAACTATTGTGTATTAACACAATAACACAGAATGATCACGATTGCGCGGCTGGAAGCCTGGGGCGGTGGAGGCAACGTTAATGGTAATGAAGTACAAGTTAGTTGCCAACTTGGGTAATGTCTGATATTAATTTGTGGCCGTAATTGGATGGGGGTAATCCAAACAGGGTATTGGACAAGTGAGACAATCGGGCACCAAGATGGCGGCTACGTTCATTATAACTTGGCGAGTTCATCTTCCCTCACCTCAGCCGTGGAAATTAGCTAGATTGGAGCTACAGAGGGTGCAACGGGGACTTGTTAAGGGTTTGTGTTGCCATAATAGGGGAAATTAGTAGAGTTTGGATTCGCTTGGACTTAAGACTAACTTTGAATTGTATCAATGAGGTTTGTAGTCTAGGGATGTTTAACAGTTGAACTTCATAGAAATGATTGGAATTGTATTCATGAATTCAAACCTCCATTGTGGGGTACTCCGAATTCAAACCCTCTACATTAGAAACTATTATCGGTAGGTATATATACAATGTCGGTCTACTTTTAACTGTAAATTTACACTGTGTGGCGCAGTTTAGGTTTATAAGTATGACGGTTGAAATGGTTTTACAGCTTCTTAAAAGTCGTGGACCTCCTAAAACAAACATTTAATATTCACATTTAAAAGCTAGAATGCATCTATTGTCTTGAATTTTATTTGTCCACTAGTTCTCTACGTGTAGTAGTTGATGATAGTGGCTGGGATGAATTAATCAGCGTGAAAACTTTACAGTAAAAGAATTAACTTGACAGATATATTGTAAGGAGGTGACAAAGGGCCACGAGCGCGAGACGTAACTACCTCTAACCCACGTCAGCTTGACAATCCGTCTCAATACCACCTCACCTCACTTATTATGTTGAACATGAACCAAAGTTTAGGAATTATCTCTCTATGAGCCATCTTTATTATCCGCACTAGTGAGTACTACGACTATCCGCAATGCTATCCTTATAATATGCCAATTTGTAAGTTACAACGCAAACATGTGGTTCGGATTTAATTATAAACTGTAGGTCTCTAGTTGCCATTAGCTGTATGAGTATGGGCTCTTAGTCACTTACAAGACTACAAGATCGCGCCACTCATCCTACAATCATCTCCATTCATAATTTGCTTCAAATACCTACATTCGTACAGTCGCCGTTTCAGAATAAAGGATTGAAGTATTTATCCTTAGTGATCCATTTCACAGAGTCATGTTTCACTGTAAAAACTAACAATTAATCTAGTTGGTATGAAACAAAACGTTTGTTTATTAAGTATTCTCAACTTTTTAAAATTACATTTAATGGAATATGATTGTTCACCTATGCTGGTATATATGTATTTTTACGAGTTTGAGTTTTACCATTGACTTTATACAGAAAAAAAAATTTTCTGTGTATTAAGTCAATGGTTTTACTCGTTTGCCGTTCACCAAAACAAAAAAAACCTTTTTTGCCAAGCCCATTGCGCTACATATTTCTGCTACGTAGTAGGTCTAAGCTAAAATATTTACTTCATTCAGAGACGTTTCTGACCAAATAATCGTGTTCATGACTATTGGTCACATATACAGTAAATGTCGTTACTTTTTAATTGTTCACAAACTCATTCTTGCTTTAGTATAACCTTAAGAAAACCCCTACACATATTGAGTGTAAACCCTGCCTCAATCACTTACAAAACATCTCCCCCCCTTAAAACTCTTTTTCATCATCGCCGCGCGCTCAAGGATCTCAAAACTGTTTGTCTCAAGATGAGTTCACTCCCACGAGTGTCAACACAAGGGGTTTGGACCGTTCCTTAAACTTAGCATCAATGGCTTTCATAATCATGATAACCGCTTTTCACCCCGAGACACGTGATGACTCCTTATAACCACCGCGGAGGTTAGGGTTTCTTATCATCCGATCATCCGAATTAAACACCTCGGCCTCCCCCGTGCTTCTCGGTCGCTTTAATATTTTAAAACTTTCCCTGATAGTTTGGCTCGGAGTTTTAAAGTGTCCCGCACCAAATTCGTCTGCCATTTCGCTGTCCACTTAAAGAGCACCAACTTCGGCCAACTCTGTAAACTTTTCACTTTGTTATGTTTAGTGAAATTGTTTTATATCTTGTCTTGTGACGAGCCGGTCCCGCATTATTTATGTGGAAATACTTCGCCTTCCGGTTCAGAGCTTGTTAATCTTGCTGGAAACGTCTTTTTTATGAATAATTTAATTGGGCGGATGAGTTAGTTTGTAAAGGTTGAAAACTAAGATGGTTACATTTCTTAGTTGATTTCTTGGTATTTGTAGCTTTTAACTGTTTTGAATATTGATTGGGAGAATAACTAATTAAGCGTAGTCAGGAATGCTTTTAAAACGCATGTTTTATAAAAAAAAAAAAATGGGTTAATTTATGCTAAAACTTTTACAACGAAAATTTCAAAGACATTTAATGTGTACGAGGCCTTTATTAAAAATAACGTGCTACCCTGAAAATATTCATCTTCTACATTGTTTGTACTCCGATTTAGTTGCTAATGAGTGCAGATTTTGTTTCAAATCACAGCATTCCGATTTTAATTTTGTTGATACAAGTCTTACGTGACAGAAATTTTGCCAAAAATAATAAAAAATACACACTTTTGTTAGCAACACAAACCGTAAATCCCAATATAAAACCTTAAAACAATAAAGTATGTTTGTTTATTTTTATTTAATGAGAATATTATCGTAAGTGTGCAAACATTAGATAGCCTACATGAATTAAATAGTTAATCATTTCGTGGTCAATTTCAAAATGGATTTTGCCCGTCTCCATGCGTTTCACAGGCCTGTGTAGAACGTATCGAGTAAAGCAAGGGATGATCCAGTTCAGTACAAGCATGGATTAAAGGAGTAGACACTTTAACCTAGTGGTAGTTTTAAATCTATATAATCTATCGCTTGTCTACTCCTTTAACCAATAGTACAAGCATGAAGTGAACTGATAAGTGGCAGCGCTGAGACGCCATCGGAGCAAAATATACCTTCTAAGCCAATGTTGATGCATGTATGTATTAAGGTATATTTGAAACTCGTTGATCATAAACATACGTTGCAGGGAGACCTATTCAGTGGACTGAACGATGGATTGCTGAGTCGAGCTGAGGCGTTAGCAGCGGTAGACATCGGCAAACACCAGCCCAACCCTGGCCCTGGCCTGCCACAGCTCAAACATGACATGATGTACCACCACGGCATGGCTCCGGGGCCTCCGAACACCAGGCCGCACCAGGTAATATTACCATGGTTACTATATATTATATACGAGCTCCTATACATATACATATAGTTACTATATGTATACGAGCTGCTAAAACCAAGACTCGCAACGGAAAGGGAACGCGAAAGAGAGCAATGTTTTCCCTTAGGTCTGCAGTATGAAATAGTTACACATCAGTTATTCATTTTAGAAACTACACTTAATTTTTAACTTAGTGTATTGTAACTCTCTCTAAATTTAGATGACGGGTTTAAATTCTCTGGTCAACCAATAATGTATACAAGTCACCGATGTGTTTATAAAAATCCTGTATTTTCTTTATGAATTAATATGAAAAGATAAACTTACTTACTGTCTAACCCCTACACATATTTAAAGTAAATCGGTCCATAATAATTTTAGACCTATTTCATTATTCAGATCAATTTATTATAAGCCCCAAAACAGTAGGTGGGTCCAGTTTTGAGCCATCAAAAAGCTAATTTAGATTTCTCGAGACTGATCTCATGTGCATTGATCTAAGATGTCAAATGAGACTAAGGTTGTTTTGTAAGAGAAGAGCATAGATGTGGGTAAATTTTAAAAACAAAATCAATTGTCTCACCAGCTGACCTAAGGGTTTAGATACATTTTAAAAAGTCCTACTAGATTCCCTAAAAAGCATGCAATGCATATTGTTTATCTCAATTACTCTTGTTCTCAACTACTCATAATATAAATAACTTTTAAATTCTAATATGTGTATTGTATTTTACTGGGCCACGTAGATTATTTAAGAAAAAAACGTTTCAACCCCTTATCTTGTTACTTACTAACGTAGATATTTAGATAGATATTGTAAATACTTGTATTGTGCTATCTAAACCAGTAACATATAGTTCTCCGTAATGTTTACCTTTGGACCTACGCAAACCGGGACTCCTAAAACGCGGGAAACTCCTTAAACGCGGGAAATTAAGACACATGGCCGAGGAGTTGAGAGGTAATGTGTCCAGCGGAGTTGATCACAAGTTGGCCAGTATATCACCACCAGGGGTAGGCGATCTGGTGAGGGGTTGCGGAATTATACGGCTTTTTAAACTCCTATAAATCTCCATTCCATTACTCTTCCTCCCTCCCCACCAATCATCTGCTGGTTATCGTATTCAAATGAGCCTCATAATGGATCTTTTCAGTTGTAATGCGGCTTTGCCTAAGTGAGGGGAAAGTTGAGATGTGGTTTTAAAAAGTTTGGTTTACACTGTTTAATATTTGTCTGTAGTTCTGTATTGCAATTAGATTTTGACGTGATATAGGTTTGAGAGAGTGTTTTGTAATGGTTTTAGTTTAATATACAACTATCGTGTAACGCAGTAAGCGATTTTATTTTATGAATATGTTTTAAAGTTGAATTATTTCCCAGAACAGAAGTGGTGGGTTATATCGTATTTAAAATAAATAAATACAAATATAAATCAGCAAAGTAGGTTTCACATTATTATGAATAAACGTTTTATCTATACAGCAGGTGTGTGAGAACAATTACTGTAATTGGCTCGTTGCAATGAATTTTTCGTGACATTTTTGTTTTTTATCAATTCTGTGGCAGTTTTAGGTTCCATTTACAATAGTAAAAGTAACACAATTCTGTGACATACTTTAAACTCATAATATAATTTTATTTCCCTTTAATTGCGATAAATATCACCAAACGATCGTTTATAGTTGTACAGTGCCGTAATATCGTAACACTAATCAGATAGTAATTCCAATTATGTAAAGCAAAACATTAAATAAGATTAATGTACTATGAACTACATTCTCTTCTAAACTGGCCATAACGGGTGCATCGTGTAAAAAAAAAGGTTGAGAAAAACTCATAAATAATTCATGATGAAAAAACTATCGAAAGTAAGGGTCATGTAATGGTATTAAAAATTGATCAGTGGTCACATTACTTATGCACCGGCTTGCGAGCTCGGAGGAGACCTCCACTTCTTGTACAGTATCCTACTCGGTGACTTGGCCGTCTTGGCACACATTTACTCTCCTTGTCAATCACTAACTTGAATGCGATTAAGCCGCTTAATTGCTTTGCATTAAAGTGTGAATAATCCTGATAAGATGGCATTTTACACTTCTAGGAATGTTGGTTGTATGGTAAGTTTATCTCGTAGTTTGTTGATATCAATGAAGATCAAGTTAAAAATTATCAGAGTATATTTTCCCTATCTTTAACTTTATGACAAATACTGTAACAAGGTTTGCAATCGTTCCTTTTAGGGAGTAGTTGTTGCCGTAGCCATAGAAATATTGAGGTACATGACCACTCAGTTTCTTCGTCTTATATTTCCCTAAAGAAAAAAAATGCTGTTTTTATTTATACCTGTATACATCTGCGTATGTATACAAAAAAATTATGGAACCAACCACGAATAAGACTTCAAAACAATCGAGTTCGAAAACGGGAGAGGAAATTAGGTTTATTTAAACACTTTAGTAATACAAAACTAAATACTAAGCTAACCTGAAATTGATAAATAATGTTTACAATAAAGATCAGATTAAAAAAAAAATTTAGTTTTACAATTTTAATACAATTAGCATGTACATTTTTCATATCTAGGCCTACTGTTTGTGGAGTTATAACAATTACAAAACTCTGTACGTTATCTAGCTCGAGATTTTTTCACATTAAAAATCAGGCTAGGCCTGGAGGCTGCAGCATTATTACTTATACTCCATTGGTAATTTGGCAGGATTTGAACCTGGGAACTCGCTCTGAAGGTTTATTGGGCCGAATTTATGCATTACTAATTTACTGCATTGTTTGTGGTTCACATTGTTCTTCCTTTATCTCTTTTGTCTCTAGGAGTGTTAGGATATCTCTCCCTTACACACCCAGTACAAACGGAATGAAAGAAGCGACTGCATCTTGAACACTGACGATATTCATGAACTCCTATTTCTCCGTCTCTCTCATGGGCTCACTTGCGGCGCATTAAATCCAACAAGGAGCGAGGCACGATGTTTTGCCATGAATATTGAATGTGATCGTCATTCTATGATGTTATTAGAGCGGAGCGACTGACGGCGACTCCCGGGGGGGTCGTGTCGCGGAGGGGGGGGGGGGTGCAACCCTTGTAACTGGTAATCGACAGCCCTGCTCTCTGCTCACACATGATTCACCCCTGGGGTCCCCCACGGGCGAATATTTCATCGTTACCGACGGCATACCGACAGTCACCCTTCAATTAGTCACTTGGCCTGAGGCGTGTACATTGTACATGTACGACGCATGTTTGTGCTCGTGATTGTCAGTGTTTGCAAATCAAGGCGTGCCACTTTGTTCAAGTATATTGGTTCAAGAACTAATAGAATAGTGGTATGGGTTTTTTTTTTGTTAGGGATGACGATTCTAAATTAAATTATCATGATATGTTTAGGTACACTTATGATTCTTAGCTTGTTTGCCAATCAATGAAGGTTTGCCACATTTGTGTATAATATTAGTTCAAGATCTAATGGATGACGTATCATCGATGCGGACTACGTTAGATGTTCTTGTTGATGAAAGCGTGCATCCATAGGTGATTTTAAAATGAAATTAATGTATTATTTCGTACAGTTACCTGACAAACCCCCAGAAAAAATACAAACCGTCTACTTTTCAATTGCAATTAGTGTATTATATAAGAAGCTATATTTTAGCTATGGTACATATGCCTAATATCGTTCTTATAATCTACTACATTGTAATTATCATGTATTAAGATTCCCCACCTCAATCGAAAGGTTCGATATAATTTTCTTTCTTCTTTGGGGGCAAAAAATGTGTAAACATTCTTGCAACATATTTGATATGTTATATCGCAAATAGTCCTAAGTAACATAAAAGCAAACATTAGGTATATAAAATGCTTCTATTACATTAAAATTTATACAGGTTAACAAATTGTCTGGACACATTTTGTGGACTTGCAACTTAGACTAAGACAAACATAAAGTACCATATAAGTACGGGTCTAAAATACCTAGATTTGTGTGGGGTTTCTCTGTTTGTGGTTTTTTAGGATTATTTTATATCTTGGGCGTTTTTCAAAATAGAAATTGGTATAAATGTGTAGTTTAGAAGGTACAAAAAGCATAACAAATTCCATTCCAAAATTTCCAGCCATTTCAATATGACGGCCATTTAAAATCTGTAATACCAAAAATTGTGAAGACCGTAAATATTAAGAAAACAGTTTTCACAATGAAACAAAAATTAAATCCTTATCAAATGAGACCTTGTTTGTTAAAATCAGATGACAAACAACCGAGTTATCAGTTGTTTCTACACTCGGTTACGCAATTTAATAGGACTACCATTATACTGCTCTTAAGTTTGGTTTATTATTTGCTATTTTACAGATCGACAATATTTATATTTAAATAACATGCTACCTTGATACGTAGTGCCATTCGTATCTTCTTTCGATAAATATTAGTAATTAAACTACATCTACGAAACACATATCATTTTTACTGGCCATTTGACCCCTTCTCCTCAATAAGAGTGAGCAATCCTATACTCTATGACATACATTAATCTTCAAGGATATTTTTGTCTAAAAAAACTTTCTATTTCAGATGAGCCACCACCACGGCATGGAAGGCCTGGAGATGCTCGATCCCATCTCCTCCTCCGCCATGACCACCCTCACACCCATGTCCGAGGGAGGGGTCGGGGCAGGAGGCCATCCTCAGCTGCACCCTCCCTCCGTATACCCCACCATGAACAGTATGATGGGAGGCCACCACCACCACCATCACCACCACCATGGGAGCCCCCTAGGAGCCCATGGACCTCCCGGACACCACCACCATGGTCATCATCCGGGCATGGTCCAACACCCCGACGCCGACACCGACCCGAGAGAACTGGAGGCGTTCGCTGAAAGGTCCGTTTATTTCTATGAGTACAGGACTTTCTGATTTTCTTGTACCCATGCTTTGTTCAATAACCTTGGTTTCTTTAAGTGTTTAGGGTTGGATTTATAAACGATCCTCTGGTCATTCAAAGAATCGTTTGGTTTGAAACACCATGGAGCTATAATGATTAATGATTATTGGACTTGATCTGGAAAAAATAACTCATGTCCGAGTAACCAGTGTTTTGAAATTTTAAATCAACTTTGTCAACAATATGAGATAGCTTGGGTCAATATGACTTTACAAATAACCAAATTTACACTAAAAATAGGGTTGAAAAATTAAACTATTGAACTATACAATTCATGAACCTATTTATATTCTATATATTCTTATTAATACAACTACTGCCTTTAAAAAAATTAAGTACTCTTTTGTCCAATTTTCACCCATCGGTGAGGTTCAAACTAATCCCAATAACCAAAAAATTAGAAATTATATTACAAGAAATATTAACATTTTGCTTTCGAATTAGGATGAATCAAATAAATGTTGAAGTCACAACTACTCTTGACTACTCTTGACGTTATTTATTTGAACACAGATTCAAACAGAGAAGAATCAAGCTCGGGGTGACACAAGCAGACGTAGGCAAAGCTCTCGCCAACCTCAAGCTGCCAGGAGTAGGGGCGCTCTCACAATCTACCATCTGCCGCTTCGAGTCTCTCACCCTCTCACACAATAACATGATCGCCCTTAAGCCCATACTGCAGGCGTGGCTAGAGGAGGCAGAGGCACAGGCGAAGAACAAGAGAAGAGATCCGGACGCTCCCAGTGTGCTGCCAGCGGGAGAGAAGAAGAGAAAGAGGACGTCGATAGCAGCGCCGGAAAAAAGGTGGGTACTTAGGAAGGGACTAGGTTCTGAAACGACAGGATTTATATCTAGGAGCTTACTTTGCCTAGTCTTCACAGAAAGTGTGCTGCCACAAATCGATAATTTGAAAGATATTCTAACTGTTTATAATATAAAACAGATTGGCTTGCTGATAGATTTTGCTGGATTTGTTGGGTCGTGGTAAGGAAATTTTTGTTGAAATTAATGAAGGTTCAGTAGCTCATATCTCTGTTGGTCTAACCAAGTCAAAAATACTAAACCTGTTGAAGAGCCTAAAACTTTGTCCTCATTCATGTTTATCACTTGCTTCACATACAAACACAACTACCTAGCTTAGATTCCCTTATCACTTCATTAACTGTTAGAGCTGTTTAATTAATAGTAGTTAATGATATTGAATGTCAATTTGAAAAATTCAATCATCAATAGTTTTGGTCCACGTAGGCCGATACTTATTTCGGCTTTTATAGATACGAATTTGTTTTAGTTTGGAAATAAAACACACATACTATATTGATAAAAATAAAAATCCTTTTTGACATTGTATTTTTATTAAACATAGTCTCTAGATATCTCACTCAATAGCTAGTATCGCTAAAATAGTTATTAGGTTCTCCTGACTCTATGCTAATGGGGTTTCAAACTCATTATTAAAGGCTATTGCTTATTGATAGAATAGTCAAACTGAGATATTGAAACTCGTACAATATAATGAAGGTTGACACGCTCGAATTCATCATTATACGTTAAACGCAGGAATGTATTCATTCCGTAATAAACAAGCTGAATATAAAAGTGCTGCATATTTCTAGCATATTTTATTTGGAAACCTATTTAAACATATTTCTCCCTTTTAGATCGCTGGAAGCCTACTTCGCCGTACAGCCAAGACCTTCGGGAGAGAAGATTGCGGCGATAGCAGAGAAGCTGGACCTGAAGAAAAATGTCGTGAGAGTTTGGTTCTGCAACCAGAGGCAAAAACAGAAGCGTATGAAGTTCGCTGCTCAGCACTGACAGCTGGGGTACTCGGGGTGACCCTCTCGCAACGACACGGACACTTCCACAAGTGACGAGAAAAACTTTACATATCAGCCAGTGCACGGCTACCCTGTGCCGTTCATATAGACTAGAGACCCCAGCGATCTCGGCCGGTGGTGTTTTTGATTTGTTTGTATGTCATATAACGCGGAAAACTGCTAATTTGAATTTCACGAAAATTTTCTCAAGTATAGAGTATTTATAAAATGTTACTAAGCCTACTTATTCAACTCATTACTAGCATACCTATGGCGTAGCGTTTAACCAACCTCATTGAAGGTCCTTTGGTTTCTTTCATTCACCCCCAATAATATCAACTCAATAGTTACTTATGTATGAAAACTGTCCTAACGTAATTCCAAACTAAATCTCTTACCACACTTTTTTATTAAGTTCTGTAAGTTTAACTTCAGTTAAAATGTTCCACTTATGTATACAATGTATAACTAAGGTTTAAGTATTACCTGAATAGTCAAACTTTTAAAGGAAATTTTCAATTATTCTATTAGTGTACAGTATTAATGTGATATATTTCCTATGGTTTTTCATTCAGAGTATCCTTATCTTAAAAATGTACTGCAACACACATGTTTACTACTGTTTAAGATAATTTTAAGCTTAATATTTTGAAAAACTCTAATTGGCAAGCAAACAATCACTTTTACTCCATAAATTCAATATGATTGCCAACAAATCCCGTAAATAGCATAAACAGCTGATCAAAAACATCACCAATCGAGATGAAAGTTGACCGCGGTTGTAAATAGACGTGACGTTTTGTAACCTATGACGCTGTACATCCAGCTAATCTAGTCAATAATATCATAGCAATCTTGGTGTCCCCAACTTATGTTACCTTTGGTTCCTTAGCTCTAGTCAGTTGTATGTACAAACGTTTGTATCTATAGTTTTGTAAATACGTCATCCATGTATTAATTGGCATTAAACCAAAGATTTTAAATATCACAACTGTTGGCTTTTGAGTTACCCAATCTATTTTATGTTATAAAGGTTCGTAGTTTAAGCAAATAAAATTATAAAAAATATAATTTGAATGGCAATTTATGTTGCATTTATAGCAACAATAAATTAATAAATAAATATATTTAAAACCCCTAAACATCCAGCACTAATTAAAGAATACTTTTTGTATAGTTCAAGGCTGTTGAAAAAATATTTTTTTTGTATTCTTGGTAATGGTTGCTACTATCAAATACAAATAATAACTACACTATTTCGATTGTCTGATATACATGAATTCAAAATAGGAAATTAACAAAATAACACAAGATAGTGAACATAAAAATAGTCATGAGGGACCTAAAGTCAGACTGATTAATAGTAAAGGGGTTAAGTAATAAATATTTTTATTTTTTACCACTATCTATAAATGTGATAACCACTATCTATAAATGTGATAAATCCATCCATTTTTTTTTTCTTAGGGCCCTTTCACACGAGGCCACTGGTGGCGGACACCGGTGTCCGCCACCAGTTACCGGCCGGGAAACTGCAGTGGATGGTACAGGCAACTTACAAGCCACTCTACTACAGCCACTGTACTGGTAGAAATGCTGTACATGCTGTCGAACAATGAACATCTCCTTCTTCTCGCGTTGATAATAAAGAAAATAAGGCAAAGACACAGGCGTACTATACCGAATAGCCGGTTACTTTTCAATTTCGCAAATTAGATCATCAGTATCCACTTTGTTTTCTATTATTTTGTTTATTCTCTTCTTCTGTTGTTTTCCTTTGTCTTTTTCTTTTTCAGCAACGTCCTCTTTATTTTTCTTCTGATCACTCATTTTCAGAAACAAACAATTCAACACGAAAACACTCAACAACTACAACCATAGTGCGTTTGTCTTTGCAGTCTGCACGTGAACTGATTCAAAATAGCTGCGTGCTCATCCACTGGTGGCGGCCACTGGTTGCTACGTGTGAAAGCTCCCATATAATTCAATGCCCCGCGACGAGTTGCCGCCACTGCAGTTGCCGGCGGTGGCCGACTAGCAGTTGCGCGAGAAGACACTGCTCGGCCACTGTGTAGTGGCGGGCAACTACAGTGGCTGTGTGTGAAAGGTCCCATTTAAAATAATGTTAAAGCTGTGGCGGGCAACCAGTGGCGGCCACCGGTGGCCTCGTGTGAAAGGGCCCTTAGTTTCTAAAGTTGACCAGATTATATTCACTAACAAAACCACTAGATAGTTCAGAATAAATTTTTAATCTTCACACAAGCATGGGTTTAGTCTAAAACAATACATCAGTAAATGAGATAAATGGTATCTATTTATGAATTCAATGAAATTTTTTAGTTTATAAAATGTAGTATGGTTTGAACATGGTTATGAGCATGGTTTCGTCAAAATATAAAAACATTAAACTCTGAAATTTCGTAAGTCTAGAAAGTTTTTTTTATGCTGCCACTTCAATTGTTTCTCAGTATGACCGTTACCAAATTTATTGTATTCGATTCGTGGATGCAGTTTTGTGGGTTCAAATTATAAAAAAAGGGTATTTATTCCGGATAGGTGCCTCCAAACGAATTGTTAATTTTGATATTATCTTACTTTATAGTTTTTTACCTCCTGAATCCAAATATACCATTATTTTTCACCGCTGATAAATATTTCTCAAGATATCGCCGTAAAAACATGCTTAACATTACAATAAACAAGATAGGATGGATAAAATTTCAAGTGATTCTGTAGTCAAATAACTTAATGTTCTCTATAATAGGAATTTCGTCACATTATGGAGATGTAGATGGACTGGTGGACTAATTACTTGTAGTTCTTATTTAGGCATGTCAGGGTGGTAGGTCGTGCTGTATGTGAATTGGTAACTGCATTAAGTGTTTTGAAGTTAGGTTAGATTAGGAAGGTAAAGTTTAGGTTATAATGTATCGAGTTGTTAGTTTATGTTGCCTGCAGACTGTTTTTGTAAAATTAAAATCCTGAGAAAAACACTTCAAATTACTTTTTCAAAAATGCTTGCATTTTTGAAATAGTAATTTGAAGTGTTTTTTCTGGATTTTAATTTTACAAAAATAGTCTGCAGGTAGCATAAACTAACAACTTGATACATTATAACCTAAACTTTAACTTACCTAATCTAACCTACCTTCAAAGGACTTAATGCAGTCACCAATTCACATAAAGCACGACCTATCACCCTGACATACCTTTTCTGACATCAAAAGGAGTTTGCTTACACATTCTAGAGGTTTGGTTAGGTTAGGTTATGTGAGAATAGCACCATTTTAGTATGTAATTTCTAAACGGCGAAATATAAATCAATAAATCATTAATAAGGATAAAATACCCATAGTACATTCCACTTTTAAATGGCATCCATCCTACCTTGTTTATTGTAATGTTGTATATTATTACGGCGATATCTTGAAAAATATTCATCAGCTGTGAAAAATAATGGTATATTTGGATTCAGGAGGTAAAAAACTATAAAGTAAGATATCAAAATTAAAAATTCGTTTGGAGGCACCTATACGGAATAATTACCAACACCGAACTCTCTCTCAAGTACTTACTAAAACACTTCAGTTTCCAAAAATTATGTGAAATAAACATAAACACCGTGTCAATTATTATTTAAGAGTTGTGTGTATTGCCGTGCATTGTAGAATAGCCATGTGATGAAATGTCCAGCGATTGTCTACAACGACGTCGCTGTAATCAACGTTACAGTCTGCAGACTGATCGCAGGCCGTGTAATTGTAACGTAATGATCGATTCCGTGGCAGCATGTAACAGTAATATACGTATCAACGCGAGCGTATCCTGGCAACCGTATTTGTACGTTGTGTTGATTCTCACATACTCCCTTCCCTGTCACTCTCTCTCTATCACACTCCCGTCCCACCCCACCAATACTGATCCATCTGACTATTGGTAACGGATAATTGTGGATACTGTATATACTTACCTCGGCATTATAAAAGTATTGTCAATCGCTGAGACAAAAAATAAAAGAGTAAAATAAAAATATTGGGTAGCTGAGTGGTTATTGTAAGCCTAAAGAGGCGAATTCCTCGTGCAGCCCCAATGGGCTTCTCACCTGCTCAAATAAATGCTTTATCGTCTATAAATTTATTGTCAAATTTCTCGATTATGTAATCTAGCTCCCCTAGTAGTAAAAATTTCACCGGTACAATTACAAAAAAAGCTGTTAGATAGGTCAAAACTGAGCTTAGTTGTCCATGATAATTCGGCTTTTATTACACAAACTGATTATCGGGTTGTTGATTAAGAAACAGCGGCTTTTCGATAAGCAAAACAAGGCATTTTAATCCATTCTAAACTCATTTTTCATTAATATCTGGGATGAAATAGCTCCAGTCAATCCCTATTAAGTATTAGTAATAATTAGTTATTACGATTGAATATTGTGTTTTCTGTACCTATTGAAAAGTTTTAACAAACAAACAATATTTTCTAAATCAAATAACTACCCCAAGCTAACTTTAACTGAACCATTTTAGACAGGGTTAAACCGAATACCGTATTAAAAAATTGTAAAGTTATTGTATAGTTACAAAATTTTCATAAAACCAACTTTGCTTCTGAAACATAAAAGTGCAGTTTATTTAGTATTGTTTGACGCCATAACTGAACTCAATAAGAAATTGGTGTCCTCGATAGTTGCCCCAATAATAATTACTTACTTACTTACTTGTAAGTAAGTAAGCAAGTATTATTGGGGCAACTATCGAGGAAACTATCAATAAGAAATTGGTGTCCTCGATAGTTGCCCCAATAATCTTTACGTGGATCAAGACGTTTTGACTAAGCTATAAAATCTTTGAAAAACGTTAAGCAAAATAATTACATGGAAAACGGCAAACTACATTTTATATAAACTTATATGGAATACTGGAATATAAATCGAAACTAAATTATTAACTGCAACCACTGTAAATGTTCATTTATTATTCCATGTTTTAATTTCACGGGTCCTATTCTTTCGATTTGTCACAAAACGTGAATACTCTATCCTTATAGCGTTGTTGTACAAATCTATGTAATAAAACGGTATCAAAATCTAGTTCATACATTCTCCCAATAGCTTGTCAACAACCCTTATCGTGTAAGCGCTTGGAGTCACTATGATATTTTATGAAGCAAATCACAAAAGTAGCAATACGTTTTGAACCGTAATTTTTACAGC